CGCCCAGGCCGCCCAGGTGGGCTGTAGAGTCTCCTTCTCTGGAGATATTCAACCCCCGCCTGGATGCTGTCCTGTACCCCCTGCTCTGGGTGATCCTGTTTGATCAGGGGGGGTTGGACTGGATGATCTCCCAAGGTCCCTTCCAACCCCTGCCATGCTGGGATTCTGGGATTCTGTGAGTAGAGTGGTAGATGGCCAAAGGTGGTTCATTTCAGGATCTGTCCATCTCTGGGTCTTCTCTGGAGGCACCTGGTGGTGCTCATAGATATTGGGAAGCAGCAACACGTCCAGATGGGATCATGAGGAGCATGAGGTCCTTTGGGAACGTGATTCCCTGCCCTTCCCTACTGAACGTAAAGGGAATCTAGCAACTTCCAGGTGCCTACAGGTGCCTATAGGTGCAGCCCTCCAGGCTGCTTAGCATGACGGTCCTCTGTTGGGATGGGCCTCAAAGAGGTCCATGTCACCACGTCAGCGTGCCTCAACCTCTGCCAGTTGCCCCAAGCCATGTCCTTCCTGGGATCCCAAGCAGGCAGCAGACTGGGTTGCAGCATGAGATGGCCCAAGCAACCTGGGGAACACACGGAGTCATTGCTCACCTGGGTTCACTGCACTGGGCACCTCCAAAGACCTCCTTCCCCTCCTCCAGCTGGGGTTTTTTGCAACCTTGTTTTGACTTTTTTTTTTTTTTTCTGTTTTTATTTTATTTTTGAATGACGGTGCGGCTTTTTATCTGTCTCCTGCATTTTATTCCCCTGCTCTGCTGCAGCTCCAAGTGGCTTTGTATCTCATCTTTGGCTCGGCCTCTTGGCAAACTCAAAGCAAAGAGATGCATCATCTGTGTGGCTTCTGAATCACTTGCCCTTTCAAAGGGTGGGCAAGTATTTGAGCTTTTTGGAAATGTTTGCCTAAGGGCTGCTGTGATTGTCTGTGTTACTGGTTTATCCTGAGTCCTCCTGCATTGCCGCTTTGGGAGGTGGAGGGTGGGTCGGGTGGTAGGAACAGCTCAGAGCTTCCCTGTAGCGAACCCCAAAGGACCAGTTTGGTTAGCAGGATGGTGACCCACTGACATGAACCCTTTGCGTCCTGGGGGTTAGGTGCGGCAGGGTTCTACACCTCCCTTTTATGATGAGGGTGGTGAAACACTGGCTCAGGTTGCTCAGAGAGGGGATGAAGGCCCCACCCCTGGAAACATTCAAGGTTGGGCTGGACAGGGCTCTGAGCAAGCTGGTGTAGTTGAAGATGTCCCTGCTCACTGCAGGGGGGTTGGACTAAGCAGCCTCTAAAGGTCCCTTCCACCCCAAATATTCCGTGATTCTATGATTCTGCTTCTTCTCTCTGTTCCATTCCCAGGATCTGACGCCATTCCGTGTGGCTTCCCCTCCATCCTCCCGGAGAGATCCCACTCCTCCTGCGCCAAGGACGGGAGCAGCGAGGCAGCAGCCTGCTGTGCCCTGCCCAGCACCTACCACAGGGCTGCAAGGTGAGGGGCTTGGCCTTGCACCACAGGAGACCTGTCTGCACACATGTGCTCCAGGCATGTCCCTGCCATGCACACACACGTCTGCACACTCACATGCACTCCAGGCACGTCCCGGCCATGCACACACACGTCTGCACATGCACACGCGCTCCAGGCACGGGCCTGCATTGCACATGCGTGTCCTCACATGCACACGTGCTCCAGGCACGTCCCGGCCATGCACACACACGTCTGCACATGCACACGCGCTCCAGGCACGGGCCT